ATATTGCTCAAGAAAGAGTGTGATGAGAAGAATCAATCAGTTTCTAATGCAGTGTATACGATTAAATATTTACATGAAGCTGGAGCAAAGGTCATATTGGTCAGTGATTGGATTAAGAATACTCCAGAATTGCACATAAAGCCAGTCACAGGTACATTCTTAAAGGCTTTTTGTTCAATCCTTGTTGTAGTTATCAGTTGCCATGGTGAAGTTTTGCTATTATGTCATCATATGAACTATTTATAGCCATTCTAGTTAAGGAGAGAAAAGACAGAAGAAATTTATTTAAATAAAAACCGTGATCAATGTGGGCAATGGAATTATAAAATGACTTATTTTATGTAAGGAAGCTTCCATATTGGATGAGTGATAATCTCGATGCTATAGATTTTTTATCAGAAGTTCTTCAAACACAAGTTGTTCCGGTGCATGGCATTTCTTTCAACAAGCTACCAAAGATGAATGGCATTGATAAAGAGAATATCCATCTTCTTGAGAATCTTTCTAATATCAAAGAGGAAGTTTCTAATTGTTTGGAGTTTGCCAGAGTATTATCGTCAGGAGTTGATATCTTTGTCAATGACTCCTTCTCTAATGCTCATAAAGTTCTAGCATCAACTGTTGGTGTTACCCGTTTCTGCTATGCCAGTTTAGCTGGTTTTCACTTTGAGGAGAGGCTTTGTCTACTGAAGAATCTTGCAGAAGCCAGCAGGAAGCCATATGTAGCAATTGTATGTCTCTTCTGCTGCTATAGCATTAGTTATAGAGCCTTTTTGAATACATGCTTAGAAGTTCTTTGAGAGCTTCTCTATTAGAAAAAGTTCTTTATTGTTAGTAGAAAAGTTTAGTAGAAAAGTTCTCAAAGCGCTTGTAATTTGTATCCAAACAAACTCATAATTAATAACTTATCCATTCAAGAAAGCCTCAAGTATTTCTATTGATGTTCACTGTTTGTTTCTCTTGCAACCCAGATTGGAGGGGGTAATCTCTATGATAAAGCAACTTCCTTTCAGTTTTTAGCTTCCAGATGTCAAGGGTTTGTCTTTGTGGGAATGATGTCATTTCAAGTAATGCATGCATTAGGAGTATCTGTTCCTTGTAATTTAGTGGACCATAATGCATTTAATGATGCTCTAGATATAGTGAGACTTGCTCGAGATAGAAATGTGCAGATTCTGTATCCAAAAGATTTTTGGTGCAGGAAAAAATGTGATCCAAAGCAATTGCAAGTATTCCCTTCTCATGGAATTTTGGATGGTGAGCTTTTCTACCAGGGGTTATGCTACTTAGATATTCTATCAGATATTATTTTTGTTCGGTAAATAAAATTATTCCAAATTTGATTTTGATCCAGGTTGGGTGCCTGTTGACCTCGGACCTCTATCATTGGATGAAATTGGTTCCATGCTTACAAATTGTAAGGTACATTAGCAATTTATTATACCTAGATATCAAGCTTAAACTACAGTTGGTATATTTTCTAAATATGTATTAAAGTATTTTCAGATAACTATCAACATTGGATTGATTTATCATTTGTGTTCTAGGGAATCCTTTTAAGATGGGCATTAAATGCCTGCATCTTACCTGCTAATTTTAGTTCAAATTTGTGCGTCTAATAATCTCATGCAATGTATTACCAATGTAATACATTGGTAATGGATAATGGTGTTTTCATATTAAGAAAATGGACTATCCATCCATTTTGAAATGTAACAAGGCAGCTCCAAGTAACATTTTTTCTTTGAATCCATTACAGAAACTAATTTGGATTGGTCCAGTGAAATTTGTTGATTCAAGTAAATACACCAATGGGGCATCTAAAATAGCAAGAATTCTTGATCAACTAAGCCAAAACAACTGTGAAATAATAGTTGTTGGGACTATGGCAAGTAAACTGGTGAGACAGGAAAAAAGTTCATTGTCCTTTATAAATATAATTGAGAATGCTTCAGTTGTATGGGAATTTCTCAAAGGAAGAAAACTCCCTGGTGTTATGGCTGTCGACAGGGTACGTCCTAATATTCTCAAAACATTTTATTTTTCAAAACTATATTATGTGCTTCTTATGTTCGAATTGTATGGATTTTTCCATTCTGGAGATGATTCAGTTTCTGAGATTATATTCTCTATCTGATGTGAGTTTTTTCTAATAAAATAACATGGTCATCTAGTCCATTATTTTAGATGCTGAGTTGGAGAAAACCAAAATATACAAATGATGTTCCATAAAAGTAAATATATTTTTGTTGTTTAAGGAACAGATTCCCAATTTGGAAGCAATTGGGTGCACAAAATATTTTTAAATGCATATTAAGTGATAAATGAATCAGTAAAAACACAATCCTTTCCATGGTATGTTGAAAGAGTATATATAGTCATTCTTGTTGAAGAATGTAATTAACATTTAGGAATATGAGGTCAATATTGGTATTTTTGCATGAAAGTAGTGTAACAATTAAAGTAATACCCAGATCTAGGGAAATTAAGCTGACTCTCAATTTTCTAAAATAAAATAAAATCAAGTACTTGTGCAAGCTGTATATATATATATTAGAGAAATTAGTAACATACTCTCTAACTCACTATTTCCAATTGATTAGAATTTATTGGAAATCACATAATTATTGGTCCCACGTCTTATTTAATTTATCTCTTGTGATTTTGTAGTTTTCAATAAAATTTTAACCAATAGAATAGAGTGTGTTCCTAGCACTTTTTCACTTGGAAGAGGTGATGTCTTGTTTCATTTGGACATTATAGTTCATAGAGCACATACTGTGACTTAAATGAGAGAGTTAATAAAGTAAACTAAACTATAAGCATTATTATGATATTTGCTTCTCTTTTTTTTATTTATTCTTTTTTGGTGGTAAACTGTTGAATCTAGTATTTCGTTTAATCATGATGATGAATTTGATCTTGCTTTATTAAGCAACTTAAAGTGCAAAAACATTCTACATCAATGATATATTACTGCTTATGGTAGTTACATTTTGCAGGGATACCCTTTTGAAATCAACTGGAACAGCATTTATTCTGACCCAGCTCAATCTCTGGTTGTTGATATAGGAAGTGGTAATTTCTTTTTTAAAAAAAGTTAATGTTCACTATGTGTGTATCTAATAAAATTTTGTAACTATTAACTTGTATGTAGTTCTCGAGCACTAAAAAATATATTAACAGTTTCTGTCAATATATATATATATATATATATATGTGTGTGTGTGTGTATGTGTGTGTGTATGTATATGTATATGTATATATTAAAAGTTGATGTGAACATATGGTCATTACATACATTTTCTTTTAACCATAAAATTGTCGTATTAGATTCTAAAATTCTGTAATAAAAGATGGAGCAAGGGACTCAGAAAGAGCTGAATCAATATAAAACTAATGTTACTTGTTTTTTCTTGACATGTGTACTTGCATTGCTGTTACAGGCAATGGACTTTTTCTTCTTGAAATGGCTAGAAGGAGGCAAGATTTAAACTTTCTTGGTTTGGAGATCAATGAAAAGGTTCCGAACTTGTTATATCCTCTTCCTTCTACCCTGACATTTATTTCCATACTAGGCTTTTTATTTATTATTTTCTTTTTACCTGTTAACATATATATTTTTTTCAGCTTGTTTTGCGCTGTCTGGATTCTATTCATCAATTTGGCATAGAGAACGGGTAATTTTGTCGCTTTCATAGTACAAATAGATGCAGCATCTTTTTTTGTTTTTGATTGGATTCAATAAATTGGGATTTTATCTTGGTTGAACATCAAGGAATGGCACAAGAACATTTTGGACTACATATAAACACATTCAATTACAATCATATCACTAATTTTCAAGTTCCTTAGTTGTAATTTTATTCTTGTTTAACTTTCTAAGCTTTGGTTTTCTGTTCTATTCATTTTAGATACTTTGTTGCTACTAATGCAACATCAACATTCCATTCTATTGTGTCTACTTACCCAGGAGAGTTAGTTCTCGTCTCAATACAGGTCAATATTGAATTTTTATATTTTGATATATCGAAATTACATTTTGACCGTTGTGGGTCTTTTTTGTGTTGTTGATGCTGCCATGTATACACCTCTGTTGATGTCACTGCCATCATTGCACCAATTAATGTATCATCGATAAGCAATTTCTTTGGCAATAGTACTGACAGCATACAGCAAACTACTGTAGTGATGCAGATACCATTGCTTCCAATTTTTGGATGCAACCTAAGCGTTAGCTACTAACATATTTCTCACGACCATCACAAGAAGTTTCTGGCATGATTGGCATTCATGGAAGCTTTAATCATTCTCTGTATATTATTAGACAGAAGAGACTTCTGTTTTCTAGAGTTATGATGATCACTAAGACACTAACTAGTAAATGAGTGAAATAACTACAACACTTAACTTTAATCCATTGTTTGGTGAGAGAGATCTGGCCAAAGGGAGCGAACTCGCACTTGTATCTGCTGATCATTCTACTTCTAGTAATAATGCTGCTAAAACCAATTTATACAAACAATTATTTGTGGGGCTTTTTCCTGTTAACATTTTCTCGTAGAATAGACTATTGTTCACTATTTGATGTCACGACCTTCCTATATGATTGGTTAACCTCTGAGGAAATTTGCTGTCACTATAACAACTAAATTTTATTGGGAGGAAAAAAAATTGTAGGGCTTTCAACTTGCAAACTTATTCCTATGGTAAATGAGTTCTGAATTTAATGCAAATGAGTAATCAGTTTTTTCTATAATTCTCTTCCTTTCAACATCAATTTCTAAGCCTTAATCTTTATTTGGCTTTACTTTTCCTGCAGTGTCCAAACCCTGATTTCAATAAACCTGAGCATAGATGGAGGATGCTGCAGAGATCTTTAATTGAAGCAGTGGTGAATCTCCTAGCACCTAATGGGAAGGTAATTAGACTTTGAAGGAATTTCTATAGTATTTCCTCAATCAGTACAAGAAAATTGCTTGTTTAGTGACACAAAAATGTACATTGTTTCCCACATCTAAGTGGAAGCAATGGACCATACAGTACAAGAATATAGCTGCTTTTCAGTATTATGCTTATTGTCCCTTTTCCTGTTTAGTGACACTTTGTTATGCTGAGCAGTAACTTCACTTGCATTCTTTGAATAGTTTGAGTTTGTTACTATTGAGGCTTACTTAGACTATTGACATTGACCAGATCTTTCTGCAATCCGACGTAGAAGCCGTGGCAATAAGAATGAAAGAACAGTTTTTGAGATATGGCAAGGGTAAGCTTGATTTGGAGCATGGCCAAAGTAAGTGGCTTGAAGAAAACCCATTTGGAGTTAGGTCAGATTGGGAAAAACATGTTGTAGAGCGTGGTGCCCCTATGTACCGGATGATGTTTTCTAAAACATCTGATGTTAGGGAAGTTTGAGTTGCTAATGATGTAATCCAGAAATCTGGCTAATGCATCAACCCTCTTAAGGGTTACTATTTTTGCAGAATGCATCACACAACTATTGGTTTTTCCATGCTGGGGCTGTGCTGTACTTGTAGGTAATATCAGCAGTTCACATTTCTTTTTCAGCTGAGTAAATTACACTGACATCCTTGAAGTTTTGTGAAATTACACTGACACTTGCTATTTCTTTAACATTTACAGTATGCAACCTTCCTTATACAGATCACAGAATGTTTTTCAAAATAATTAAAGGATGTCAATGTAATGATTAAGGGGCAAACAATTAAAGGGGTTATTATAGCGGGTAAAAAGTAGAGGATGTTTGTGCAATTTCATGAAACCTCAAGGTGTCAATATAATCTTCTCTTTTCAATTTTATGACATGGAATAATTCATTCATCTCAAGTATTTACATATCTTGCATTGCAGGGAAGAAGTTCCTTATAGTTTGGGGAATGCGATGGAGAACTGTTGATGAGCAGAGTCAAATATTCCAATTGGGATTTCAATGTCATTGTGTAATGTGCATGTGATATGATTCCCTAACTCCCAAGGTGTCTCCAAGGATGCATTTAAAAGCTTCACATGAAATGTAGGCTGTGGAGCACTGATGTCTATAGTCGGCATTGTATATATTTTTGTAACGAAGTTATATGAAGCCTAGAAAATCATAATTTCTATACATGGTATTATGATATGATATTTTTCATACACAATTTTTGGTTAACAAGATACACATTGGTGAAGGGAATACTAAAACAAACCTTTTCAGATAATGGTTATATAAAATATAATGCAAATTTGAATGGAGGAAATTGAATCATCTTAGGTATGATTTTTAAAATGATTACTATAAGAGAGGATTTGATAGGGAAATTTTTTTTTCATATCCAAGTTATTATGATTCCTAAAATTTAAATCCTACAAATCATGATTTCTGAGAATAAATAAAATATGTTTGGTTACTCGTAAAAGTTTTTAAAAATATTTATATAAGATTTTCAATAATTAAAGATTTTTATGTTTAATTATAATAATATATTCTTGAGTATATAAATGTTTTTTACAAAAATATATTTTATTAAAATAATTTCACTAGATATATTTATTTACTTAAATCTCATTACAAACGTGACATTAAGTTATTTTAAAAAGTTGAAAATTTATTAAAATTATTTAAATACATAATTCAACAAAAGAAATAAATAAAGAAAATGTTACCTTATAATTATGAAGAATAAAAATATATTAGTTCACTTCATTCAAATAAACATTTAAAAGCGTTAACAAATACTATTAAACTATAAAATAAAAAAAACATATTTTGATAATATTATTAAAATTGATAAGATCAGGAAATTATGAGATATAAGAAAGAGAAAGAGAGAGAAATAGAGATGTGAGAGGGGAGGGGAGGGAGAGAAAGAGAAATAGAAGGAGAAAGAGAAGGAGAGAGTGACATAGATACATTGAAAAGACATCCAAATTATATATGTATATTTTTATTTTAATTAGGAATATTATGAACTTTATACATAATTTCTTTCTAATTCGAAAAAATTGAATTACCAATCCTATGAAAATGTTTTTGTAAAAAGGTGAGATAAAAATAATTGTAGGAAAACTATGTCTTCTAACATTTTTTTTATAAAATAACTACCAAACATAAGAAATAAAAACCTTTTTTTTTAAGATTCTTATGAAAGTAAAAATATTTCACCTATCAAATGTTTTTTAAAAGTCAATAGATTCACATCACATGATAATTTGTTTTTGGTGGAACTTATTAGTGCTTTTTAAAAGTCAATAAATTCACATCACATGATAATTTGTTTTTGGTGGAACATATTAAGCATAAAGTAGTGTATCACTTGTGAATTGTAGAGGGATAAGATTCCATCCACCCAATTCAACCGATAATGGAGAACCAGAATCTGAAAATAAATGAAATAGATACATGCTATTATTGAAGAAATGTTGAGGGAATTTGATTCACATATGAGAGAAAGTGCTCATAGTCTCTATATAAACTCAGTGAGGCTTGGTTTAGGAGAGTAAGATGTTAATCAAAGGCATTAATCTTCCCATATGTAAGGGGCAAGTTTTCAACCTCCCTCAAAAACTTCCAATACTTCATGAATAACCATGAATTGTATGGTGAGAATATTGGAAGATTTTGAGGGAATTTGTGAGCTTCAGCCCAAATTCAGTCTGCTTCTTTACCTGAAATTGAAGCTTAAAGATGAAAGTTATTCGATTCTTAGGTCTATAGTACGATTGATTTTGTTTAATTATTTTTCATTTGCAACTTTCTACAACAGAAGAGGAAAAAAAAAAAAAGGTTTCTGTGTGTGTTAGAAATTTTAATCTTTGTATATAAATTTTTTATACTTTATTCTTTATGAAGAAGCCAAAAGACACATGTTTAACTCCTATAAAAACGCTCTTAAGATCTATAATATGTTTGATCGTTAAAAATAAGATAAATATTTGACTATATTTTTTTATTTATAATTTAAATGTTCTTCAATAACCTCCTTGACTAACACAAGCAAAGAGTGCCGGTGACTTTATATTCACCCAATTGAATCTTTTGAATTTTTTAATGGGATCTTAGTCTTTTATTGAATGGGAAACATAGACTGAGATATATTTAATCTAATAGTCTAATACACTCATTTAATACGATCACATAAAATAAAATTTACTAATGATAAATATAATTATTTTATAATATTAGTCCTCAATCATTATTGAAATATAAAACTTTAACAATATATAATTTGTATGGAATTATAAATCTCAACTTCATTGTGTTACCAATGAAAAAAATGTTTGGATAAATAATAAAATAAAATATATTATTTATTTATTTAAGTTCATAACATCTAATTTAGTAGTTTAATGAACTCACTTAATTTGATTACATAAAATAAAATTCACAGTAATAAATAAATAATATAATTATTTTATAATATTGGCCACAATAATCATTTGAATATAAAATTTTAACGATATATAATTTATATGGAATTATAAATCTCAACTTCATTATGTTACCTGTGTAAAAAAATGTCTGGATAAAAAACATTATTTTGTGCAAAAATAAATTATATTGTCAATCAATCATTCATCTTAGTGTAAAAAATTGTTAGATTTTTTAATAATTATTTTAAAAAATATAGTTCGACGAATTTTATATTAATATTAAACTGTACAGGTTATTGTGCATATTATAAGAGGTTAACTTAAGCCCAAATAAGAGTTTTTTTTTTGTTTTTTATTTCCTGCTAAATGAAAAAAAAATGCAAATGAAACGTTGAGTTTGGGGAATTTATATAGAAGAGTGTCTGCTATTCTTAAATATTCTTGGTAATAGATTTCGTTTTTATAAAGAAAAAGAACTTTTATTGTTATTTCAATGACTATATCGTATTTGATAAATTAATTAAAATTATAACACAAGTAGTGTGCTCCTTAACAAGTGATAAGAAGACCTAAGGAGTTATTCCTCTTATTAAAAAATTTAATTAATTAAAAAACAAAACAAAAAAAAATACAGTGGTTTATTAGTGAAAAAAAAGAGTTGAATGGGGAAAGTTTTTTTTATTTTTGTGTGTGAAAAAAAAAAAAAGATAGACATTAGAAGAAGGGGTTGAATAGCGTCTATTAAAAATTTGTACTTTTTTTAAGTAGTGAAGTAATAGCATTAACAGTAAAGAATATAGTAAAAGAGACAAACAAAACACATGGAAATTTTTATACTAGTTCATCTCAACAACCGAGATTTCGTCTAGTTCTCAATACAACTAGATTGAGTTCAATTATCTTTAAAAAGATATAAGTATTCTTTCAACAAGTCACTTCTAACTCAAACCTAAATATTTTTTGAATTGTCTCTCCGAGCAATTTACCCAAGTATTCTTTCAACACTAAGCATTTTTCAGCTTCAACACCAAGTATTCTTTTACAATCAAACCTCTTTAAGCTCAAATGAATATTCTTTTACAAACAAGTTTCTACAAACTCAATCCTATAACAACAATTATATTTAGGTGAAGTTTTACAAATTTTGTTTCATCTTACAAACAAAATGTGATAAAACCAATTAAGCACAAATGTCTTTACAAAAAGAATAAATAAATATTTATTCAAGATATTCTCTTTTTTGTAGTTAATCCATCATTTTTGTTTATACTCTTGAAGTTCTTTATATAATAGTATAGATGAAGATAACCAAAATAAGTTAAATAACTTTGCTAAACATGAAATAAATTGAAAAATGTTGAAAGCTATAAACTCTTCCTAAAATTTGCAACTAAGTTTTGTCATTATCAAAAAGGGGAAAATTATTGAATCTAGCCTTAATATATGTTTTAATAATGACAAACTCTTAGTTTCAAATTTTAATATTGAAGAGTTCTCATGTGAAATACTAACAAATTTGTTTAAGTGTTTCAGGCTTAATACTCAATAACTAAATAAAATGTTATAGCTTAGAAGCTTCAACATATATCACTCAACTTATTTGAGCTATCTTGTAGCACCAAGGTCTTGGATGTTTAATGAGCACATAATGTTTAATGATCAAAGGAGTTCAAGATGAATGTTTTCTCTCAAGGGAAATGCCTTGAAAACTTGACTCAAGAGACCAATTCTTTAAACCATTTATCAAAAGATTTTAGTTAAAACTCAACTTCTTAGAAGACTAAAGTCACTGCTCAAAAGGTTGAAGATAAGGTTGTATAGAAGGTAACAACTTTTGAAGAAAAAACGGACGACACTAGAAAAGGAAAGTACAACTGCTATTAGCACAACTTGAAAACTAAGCCAACCTTAATGAAGGCTATAAAGGAAGACCAAAACTATATTTATAAAGTAAGCAAGATCAAAGAGAGTAATCAAAACACAAACTATCAAACTTGTAATCCTTGCTTCATACTTTGGTTTTCAAAGAGCTCCACTTCTACATTTGTACATTATAAGAAAAACACAAATTTTTGACAGACATAATCCGTTGATAAAAAGGAATATTCGTTGGAAATAGAAAATTTTGACGGATGCAAATCCGTCAAAAACAGGGTTGAAAAAAAATCGTTGGAAACAATTTAATCCGTCATAAATTTCCGACGAATATATCCGAAATTGTTTGAAAATCTTTATGCGAGTCTGACGGGTAAATCCGTCAGGAAATTTCTATTTAATTTTAATAAATTTATTAATGTAACACCCCTCATATTTGGCCTCTCAAGAGTTTCATTTCACGACACTTCATATGCTTTGTCCTTACTTGCACAATTTATGGAAAACTTCCCAGAAGATCACCCATCCCTATATTATTCCAAGTCAAACATGCTTAACTGTGGAGTTTTAATGAGATAAGTTACCGAAAAGTAGATGCATGTTGTTAGTATAGGTAGTACAAATTAATTCATTTAAATCATCATCAACTATACAGTCTCATACTTGTACGATCTTTGGATCCCTCTCATTTCAGTGTGTCCGGACTGTTATAAAAATATAATAATATATATATAATAATTATATTACCAACAATAATAATTATATTATATTTAATTAATCTTTATTTGTATATATACTTACTTTTATAATTAACAATCTACTTATTTCTATTTAAAATTAATATTATGATACAATTTAAATAATTTATTATAAATTTAAAAGTTTAAATAATAATTTATATATTTTAAAATGATAAGGGTTATAATAACACCGGTGTAACTTTTACTAAGTATTACACCGCTCAATAACTTTATATTAAATGTGAATTTTGTAAATCCAACCGTTAG